TCTAACGTCGGCACCGAGAAGACCCCGCTTTAACATTCGCTGGCGGGACGGGAGCCGCGCCCGCGGGCACACGGACCTGGGACCTGCGCTGGCCCCGCGGGCGGCTGCGACAAACGCCACCGCGGTGGCTAATAACGACCGGCAGGAAGCTGTTTCTCTCCGCCCGGCCGGGACGCGCGAGACCCGGCGCCGGCCACGTGGCTCCGGCGGGCCGGGACAGCGCCCCCTGGCGGCGGCCCCTGGTGGAAGGCGCAACGGGCTCCCCCAACTGCCCGTCTGCGTCCCTCGCCCATCCTGCTAGTGTGCGGGCGCAGTCCCGCCCGGGGGTCCGCCCTCGTGCCCCGACCGCCTCCAAAGGCCCCACTTGCTAATAATACGCCGTCACTTTGGGGTTGGGATTTCCATGTGAATTTTCGGGGACACAAACGCTCAGACCGTAGCAGTAGCACATCAGCGTTTGCCAGTGTAATTATTTGTTATTCCCCATCCTTGTTTATAGCTGCTCCCCGGCATAGTCCTTCTTTGGCCCTGTGCCCTAGTTGTGTTGTTTATTTGGGTGATGTAGAGCTGATGTTTCTGGGAAAACGCATTTTTCTTTCTAAAATCCATTTGAAATCAGTAGTAGCCAGCACTAGCCTAGTTGCAATGGGAGTGCTCACAGTTCCCTAAGGCAGCCCTCACGGTGCCAGGTGGGCAGGCTCAGGGCAAGTCACCTCCAGGTGAGAAGAAAGGACCACAGCCGTGCTGGCCCAGCGGTGGCGCCGTGCTGCCAGGCTCGGCTTCCCCAGCTTAGCTGTATTCAATGGGTTCATCTGTTAAAATGAGTCAGGTGGCCAGGCATGGTGGCTCACGCCTGTAATCCCAACACTTTGGGAGGCTGAGGTGGGAGGACTGCTCGAGCCCAGGAATCCGAGATCAGCGGGGCAACATAGCAAGACCCCATCTCTACAAAAAATAAACTAAAATGAGTCAGTGTACACACAGGATCTGATTTAGTGGCGGTCGTCAACAGCTCATGTCAGGGGCAGTGCATGGCACGCAGGGACGCACACTGTGTCGATGCTGTTCCAGTGTTTACAGACAGGCATGGCTTCCTGCCCTGGACTCTTTGGCATGCCATGGGGGCGGGGGCGGGGGGAGCTCCCCACGAAAGACACCAGCCAGGCTCACGGGGCAGACTGATGGTGCCGGGCGCTCAGTTAATGCACGTTGACTGAACAAGGGACCACTGACACCCATGTTGATTCCTCTCCATCCAAAGTGTTGGGGGGATGGGCTGGTGGCGTGTGAGTGGCAGAGGCTCAAGTATGACCAAGGCCCTGGGGTTAAGGCTTGAGCGTGGCAGAGTTCATCGCTAGGGAGGCAGCAGTCTGCAGACTAAAGCCCAGCCTTTGCGAAGTTCACATTCTAATCAGGAATGGATGGTCGGCTGGGTAAATGAATACGCTATATAATAAGTTAGACCGTGGTCACGTGCCAAGGAAGAAACCTAAAGCCGGACCGGGGGCGAGGAGGTGTTTGCGTGGATGGGGAAGAGGGAGTGTGGTTGTGATTTCAGGTATGGTGACCAGAGAGGGCGTTGCTGAGAAGATGACATTGGGGTGAAGACCTACAGGCTTGACACGGGAGCCACATGGGTATACTATGGGACCATGTTCCAGGCACAGGGAACAGGAAGTGGAAAGGAGGGGGCCTGGATGTGCCAGTAGCATCAAAGGTGGCCAGCGTGGCTGGAACAGAGAGAGCGGGTAGCAGAGTGAACAGAGCGAGGATTGGGATTGGGGATTGGGGACAGAGTGAAGGGGGTCCACCAAGAGCATGGACCTTAGGTCGCTGTAAGGACTTCAGCTTTGACTTTGAGATGGGAGGCCATGAGGGGATTGGGATAGACCAGTGAGTGACATGATCTGATCAACAGGATTACTCTAACAGCTGTTCTGATGATAAACTACAATGAGGACAAGTGCAGAAACAGGGAAAGGAGATAGGGACTACTATGACATTCCTCGGGAAAGATGATCATGGGGGTAGCTTTGGTCAGAGATGCTGAGAGACATGGTCACATTCTACCTGTGTCAGAGGCAGGGCTGGTTGGATTTACTGTGGAACTGGTATGGAATAGGAAAGATACCAAGGTTTTTTTTTTGTTTGTTTTGAGACAGAGTCTCACTTTGTTGCCCAGGCTAGAGTGAGTGCGTGGTGTCAGCCTAACTCACAGCAACTCAAATCTCGGTGTCAAGCAATCCTCTGCCTCAGCCTCCCGAGTAGCTGGACTACAGCATGCGCCCAGCCCAGCTAATTTTTCTAATATTTATTGGCCAATTAATTTTTCTATATAGTAGAGACAGGTCTCTCATCTTGCTCAGGCTGGTTTCGAATCCTGACCTGGAAGCATCCGCCTGCTCGGCCTCCCAGAGTGCTAGGATTACAGGCGAGAGCCACCGCACCCGGCCACCAAGGTTTTTTTGATCTGATTAACTGGTGGAATGGAGTTGCCATTAGCTGGGATGGGGAAGATGATGAATGAGAGGAGCTCACTTTGGGACGTGCTACATCAGCAGTGACTGTTAGACATCCATTTAGGCTGGTGAATAGGTAGTTGGTTATATGAGTCTGAAGCTCACAAGAGGGGTCCAGCTTGGCTATATCCATTTGGGAGGAAGTGGCACAAAGATGGCGCCTTGAGCTGTGAGACTCAGTGAGATCCTCCAGAAGTGAGTGTACGCACAGGAGACATGTGTGAGCCATGGAGCACGTCCAAGTTGGGTGTTCTTTGAAGAGGAAAAATATGAAACAACATTTTTCCTATTTAACACTGAGCAAATACATCACAAAGTTTAGCATGCCTGATGCCATCTTCATTGACAAATTTATCAATGAGCATCTGTTAGGATGGACTATTCCAGGATCCAGTGAGAAGTGGCATTCCATTCCATTCCATTAATAAATATTTATGGATTTGTTTCCTGTAATAAACGAACATGTTAATTTTGTATCTAATTTATTAAAAAACATAATTGCTATCTTCCCAAGACTGTTTTATGCATAACAACCGACCTATTATTCAGAGATAGAATTGCTGGGATTATAAATAAGGAATGTGTAGGAACCACTTAGCTAATTTGTTGTGATGTGGGTTTCCATTCTAGGCAGCTGGGTTGTGAGCTAAAATTAGAGACATTTGGAATTTGAAAGGAAGCTCAAGAATGAATCTTCATATTTCACTTAGGTTCTGAATGAGCCAGATCTTTCTGAATCAGTCACACAAAAAGTTAGGACTAGAAGGACCTCAGGGTCTTGGCCTGTCCTCACCAAGGGTTCAAAGGAGGAACCTGCCACCTGAGGCCTACGAATTTAGATGGGTTATTTACTCTCTTTGAACCTTAGTTTCCACGTTTTCAAAACAAAAAAGTTAGTATCTCTCTTGCAAGATCAATGGAAGGATTACTGGAGGAAATGCACGTATCACAAAGCATGTGAGACAAATTAAGCACTCAATAAATAGGCACTAATATTTTTAGACACCCTGGAGGAGGTTTCTATAAAATTTTTAGGACCTGATTTTAAAATCTCATATTGTATTATTATAATATTATGGCACCAGGAGGAATAACTGGAAACATGATTTCAAGTTTCTAAATCACATCCGGAAAATATATATAGTGATAATAAAAACTATCCTCACTCCATAAACCTACCACCCACAATAGGTCTTTTGCTTAAAATGAGAAGGAATGAGA